TATAATTTTAATCACAAAACAGACTACACATCCTGTAGTCAATATGGCTAATCTAACCATAAATAGCTGTCAAAAGCCTATCATATGCACACCTTTTATATATATGTTCCATTTGTTTCTTCTGATTAATTGGGTTTGTGCTGAAGCCAGCGGGTACACATCTCTCCCTTCACATGGTCACTAAACATTGATGTTTCATGGGAAAAGGAATTAGGAGCCAAAAGAAAGCAGGTCCTCAGCAACTGGCTATCCCCCACCCCTTTTTGTTAGGTTCTTTAAAATTCCTTATGACCTTGTCCACAGTTTTCCATTTCTGGAAGGAACACAAAATTGAAGAGAGATGCTATGATCTGGTCATGCCACATACAGCAGCAGATTAGTATTTATAGCTTGTAGCAACACTTCGTTTAGAAATGGAAAAGGTTATTCTCACCACTAAGCAATTATAGATGCTGACACAAAGAGATCAAGCAACTAGCTTCAGAACACACACACACACACAAAAACCTGGATCTTTCAGAATTCTTCTTTCATTTAACATTTGAGGCACATTGTAGTCTCAGTTTTCACTAAAACCCTGGGCCATGGTGATTTTATAAATGAGAACTTGCAAGTATTCGGGAAATCTAATAGACATAGCACAAGCATCACTTTAGGACAGCTAAGAGTTCATTCCAAGAACTGCTTCTCTCAGCATCTTTGGGCTGATGTCCACTTGTGTTTGCATACACAGGAAGTCAAATTCCTGATGAAATAGCTTTGTCAAGTCAAATCCAAACATTATCACTTTATGTGTTGTATGTTCCACTCCCGTATCCAAACATGAGTGTGACTCATGCCTTGACCAGATCATGACATGATGCTGACTTTTTACTTGTTTAAAATCCTGACTGAAGGACACCTGCTGATTCAGCTTCTATTGTAACAATGTGAATCAACAACCACTTATTTATTTGGAGGAGAAAAATGAGTAAGCTGAGCTCTCGCCATGTACTTAGCTAATTAACATGGGAAGTCATGTATGGAAGGTAGTGTGAAAATGATGAGCTTTAATCTAAAGGGGAAACAAAAGCATGGTCGAGCTGCAGCGCTGTTCAGAATGAAATACAACCCATTTGGCTATGTAAATATTTTGGTAGAAGTATCAGACTTGAGATATGACTCAATTACATAAAGGTTATTAGAACAGTGAGAAATACAGTGTTAGCATTTTCCTGGTTTGGCTGATTAGCTGAACACAGCTTACACAATAGAACAGCTCAATAGTCTGCTCAGATTGCTGTGAATGTTGCTTAAAAATGAATATTAAAACAATGAACAATGAATTTATTTTTACAGTTTTGTAATCTGTTCCCATCTGTAGGGAAGCTAAGGAAGAAGGATAGGGTATATGCAAATGTACTAAAATTAGGGGCGCTGGTGTGTGCATGTGCAGTGGCAGAATAAGATACATTTTGAAGTCAGCAGACAAATTCTGTTGAAGTGTAGCCTTTTAAATAATACAGCGAAGAAAATTAAAATACTCTGGGTTTGCCATCTGATTCGTCATTATTAAATAGATCATGTGCTTTGCAATCTTGCATCAAGTATGTCACACAAATTGTGGGAGAGCTGGGGTAAGTTTACAGTCCAATGTGTCTAAAATGATCACAGGTCCTGTGGGTGAGGATTCAAAGAGGACTCTCTGTGAAACTTTGAAAAAAAGGCCACTTTAAACTGTCCTTCATTTATACATCAAATTACACAAGGTGCTTGAAAAGGCCTACACCTTTGTAATATTTTCTTCATTTTGTGGTAGATGTTATGTCTTGCAGCTTATGAGAGGTATACTCTTCTTTGTTCAGACGCGTCTTCTGCAGGTTAGCAGTGCATGTGAGTGAAAGTATGTTCTGAAAGTGTGCATACTCCCTAACTGTTCTGCCTTGGACACGTTTCATTGCTTGTTTTTGATTCCTCTCAAATTCTGTCCCCTGGTTATGAAATGTGGGTAACAGCTGATAATGCGGCTTGCAAAATTGAGTTCCTTAAATTTGAATTGAACTTGACACTTTAAATTTAGCCTGTTCATCTCTGTGTTGGGAAAGGGATTTGATGCTCCCAGCCTTTAACTATAAAATGTGTGTCAAAGGGGGTAGGGTGTAAAAACCAAATATAGATACCAGTGACCTACTGTAATATCTATAATAGAATCGGTGTCTTGGTAGTTATGATGAGCAAAGGGGGGGGGATGCAAAAGCAGGCAGTACAAGGGGAAGTAAAGAGCTCTGAAGCCCCAAGTATACCTCAGGAGCAACAAGCGTGTCATTAGACAGCAGGTTCAGTCATAATGGCGGAAACAGATTAATAATTAATAAATGGAAAGGTTCAGGAAATTGGATGATTCAAGAACTCATTTGCATGCAAACTGTTTTAGGCACTGTCATTTAAAGAATGGAGGAACATCTACCAACAGTGGTCATTATTTACAGCAGAGAATAGTATGTAATGATTTTCTGAGCTCCGAGTGCTTCATGGTAATTAAAGTGCTGTACTGGCTCTATTAAACGCATCAGCAAAACTTAGACCTCCAAATTGCTTGTGGCCCAGCAATCTCAGCATCTCTGCATATCCAGGCTCTTAGTGACAGTGAAATCCTTTGCATTGCCTGGGGTAGGCGTTCTCCCTGCCTGCTTTTTATGGCTAGGTATAGGCAGGTATCAGGAAGAAAGCAGTCATTGGGAACTTGAGAAACTGAGTTCATTAATATGGATTTAATAATAAAGGGGGGGGGGAATTGGTTGTGTCTCGAAAGCCTGCAAGCAGATCATGAAGGCAATGGTCTTCTCTTTTTGTGTAGATCCGAGTAACTGGTATTCAGAAGCATGTAGGCTCCATTTAGCTATGGTGGCTAATGAGCTACTGACAGACCCATGTTCCTTCCAGGAACCCGCTTATGTGAGATAGTGGGCATCACTACATATTGTGGGAATGCATTCCATACTGTTAATTATCTGCTGCGCGAAGATCTGCTTCATTTTGTCTGTGCTGAATCTACTATCCATTTCATTGGGGGACCCCCAACTTCTAATATTTTAAGTAAGGGCGAAAAGGTTATCTATCTGCATAAACATTATGCACTTCTGTTACACCTCCACTTACAACTTCCCCCCTAAATGAAAAAGCCTCGGGATGGGGGGAACCTTTTTTTCCAGCCTGATTACATTTTCTCAAGGGCAGGCTTCAAGGCCCAGCATGCTCGTTCTGGTTGGGGCAGGAGGCAAAAGTGGCCGAGGCAATAGATGCAACTCTTACCTTTGTAGAGTAGGTTACATTTTGGCAATAAAAAAACAGAGGTTTCTACATGCACAGTAAGGTCACTGTTGTTTCCTTCTCCTACAGTTTTTACCCATATACTATCCACCTGCCTTCCATGTTGCAGGTCACTGATCTCTTCACAAGTGTACACATCCTCCCCCCACTTCCTGCTTGGTCTGTTCCTTTTGAATAGATTATAGTCCTCAGTTTCTACATTCCAGTCATGAGTCTTATTCCACCAGGTTTCAGTAAAGCCTATTACATAATATTTGCCATCCTGTATTAAGAACTCAAATTCATATTGATTATTTTCCAGACTCTGTACATTAGTCATTCCCTCCAGCTGTAGTTTCTTGTCCTCTAGCAGGTTTCTGGAGCACCACCTCACTTTCCTGGGCATCAATGAAGCTATGATCCCCAGTTCCAAGTGTTCCCCTGTCGTCTGTAATATTGTCTCCCTCCCCCTCAGGGTTTAGTTTAAAGCTCTCCTAATTGGGTTCACAATACTCTTAGCAAACACATTCTTGTCAACCGCTGTAAGGTGCAACTCAGCAGTCCTTTCTCAAAGAAGTGGACAACATGGTCCTTGAAGCCAAACCTTTCCCGGCAACACCATCTACGCAGCCATTGGCTTCCTTCCAGTATTCTCTTTCTTCCTGGGCCACAACCTTCAGTAGGAAAGAGTGATGAAAAAACCCACCTGTGCTCCAAGAAGAACCCATTGTAATATCATAGCTTTGAAGATAAGATGAGATGTAATCTTAAGTTAAGAGCAGCCCTTTTTACATGTAAGATAAATTGTATTCTCTACATTTTGCTAAAAGGAAATTTGAAACATTTATGTATTATTTACCAAAAAGGAAAAAAAAGTGAAAAAAATTCCTGAGGTAGTGAAGAATCTCATTAACTAGCTAACACAAATTACATAATTTTATGGAAATATACTGCAAAATGTCTCCCTTTCCCTCTAAAGTTTTCCAGGCCTGAACAAAAGATGCTTTTGTCTGGTGTATCATACACCGTATTATTTTAATCCTAACACATTCATTAGATAACATCTCCCCTATTTAGCAACTTAATACTCTTAAAACTGCTGTGTAGAAGAGAGCTGCTCCATAAGATTATTATTTTAGTATTTCATTACAACGTATATGTATAAAAGAGATTACTTTCATATTAACAATGGCAGGACATGTTTGCTCAGAAGTAAATCTCACTGTACTCAACGGGTATAGTAAGCACATTCATGACGCAGTCTTAATCTGTGAAGGTTCATTCAGTTAACAAAAAGTTACATTTGCCTTATGATTCGGTGTTATAGAAATATGGCTTTTGGAGATTTAATTAATACAAAAGATATAATCCTCCTTTATGTGTCTCTTTACACATCCCAAAGAATGCTCTGGCAACAGGTTTAAATATAAAGTCATGATTATCTTTGAGTGCATTGCTCATATAACAGGGTTAGATTCTGTCTGTGTTGACTAGCCCTGTCCTCTGTTATAGCCAGTTACTGAAACAGCATTTATTGTTACACTTTTCTCATTAAAATGGTATCTTATAACTTTATCTTGATTTACTGTAACAGTTATTGTTACAGTACACAATACAACTATTGTGATATTTTGCATTTGGATTGTCAATAAAGAATCTGATTCACAGCCGGGCAATTAAACTATACATTTATAAATCAGTACTGTAGAACATCATAGCTCAGCTGGTTAGAGCGTGGTGCTAATAATGCCAATGTTGCAGGCTCAATCCCCATTTGTGACAGCCGCATACTCTTGCACTGCAGAGGGTTGGACTAGATCAGGCATAGGCAAACTCGGCCCTCCAGATGTTTTGAGACCACAACTCCCATCACCCCTAGCTAACAGTACCAGTGGTCAGGGATGATGCAAACTGTAGTCTCAAAATATCAGGGGGGCCAAGTTTGGCTATGCCTGGACTAGATGATCCTCAGGGTCCCTTCCAACTCTATAATTCAACAGGGGTTGCTGACTTGTAGTCTCCAGATGTTGGTGGTATACAACTCTTCAGTCAACGAAATCCTTGTGTTAGAAGAAGCACAAGGGTTAGTGCAAGTGCAACAGGCTCCCCCCCCCTTGTATTTGCCCCACACCATTCCAAAATATGTTTGGAGGATTGTGGGAACCCCTGGAACAGATGTAGTGGGCATGCGGGGGAAGGAGAGGGGGAGAAATCCTAGCCCTGATGGAACACATTTACTTAACACTGCATTGAATACAACCCCCTGGCTATTGGCCATGCTAAGTGAGACAGATGGGATTTGGACTCCAGCAATATCTGGAGGGCCACAGGTTAGCCACAAGTATGTATGTACCTGATTGTAAGCGTCATTGAATACAGTGGGACTTACTACTGAGTAGACATGCATAGGATTACACTGCAAGAATCTAATCCTAAACACATGTCATTGAAAGGAAGTGTTCATTGAAAGTAAGTAATAAAGAACTCAGGGGGACTTGATGCTGGTCAAAACTGCTAAAGACTGGGCTTGGAGAATTTTATTTTTATTATTTATTGAAGTTCTATACTGTGCCTTATTTGAGGATCTTGGGGCAGTTTACAACAGAAAAGTACAAAAGTATATTACATAATAATAAACCAAACAATATATTTAGAAAGGTAGGCAAAATTAAGTCTGCTTATCTAAAAGTGAACATATATCATATACAAATGATTGGGCAGTATTGGTCAAGATATCACTGCATAAAATCAAGGGAGCAAAAAAGGTAGGGGCACGGGAATTATCTTTCACCTGCTTCCCTAATAACTGAGCTTGTGTTTTCTGTCCCCTAATATGCATAGGATTGGGCTGCATAGCATTACCCTCCATTGGAGCAGTTTACATTGGCAGTTCCTGTACTGCATTTTCCCATATGTATAGCCTTATGATTCCAGAATGTAAATAGAACATTGCTCACTTTAGTTTTTGTTTTTTGTTTTTACAAAATCAAAATAATGGTCTCCTCATTAACTTGTGATCTATATACTTGTAGAGATTTTCATGTGTGCTGCATTTAAAAAATACCACTACTTTGTTCCTTAAGGCAGTGATAAAACATGCTCCTGTTTGAAACACATTGCTATTGCTTCTGTTAAAGAAGGCTTAAGATCAACACATATCTAGGCAAAATTCTTATAGAACATATGCAGTATAATTATAATGTTTCTAACAAGATTTTGGCCTCAGCTTTATGCTGAAATAAGCAAAATTATTTTATGATTTAATTTCAGCCATGTTATTATTACTTGAAAATTTTGAGGACTGTCTTAGTGCCTTTCTTCACAACTACTAACAAGTATTTTTTGTCGTTGCTAGCAACACATATAGTAATTGCTTATAGATGGGGGGAAAATCCACTTGCACTTACATATGGTATTCAGTGGTATGGGATTTAACCTTAACCAACAAACTGATTAAGTTCAGGCATCTGATTGGATGAACACAATCAGACATATTTACTGATAGGTGGTTCTTTCAAGTTGCAACATTAATTCTTCAGTAAAGCATTTCTCAACTCCAACACAGATATTTTTTAGAAAGACTTGACCGTTGTATGAAATTTGTATGGTTGTTGATTCTGTGAACGGTCTTAATTGCACCATTCAGTTTTGGTTATAATGTTTTTTTTGGGTCCCGGGGTACATTTGGAAATCTAAGAAACCATCACAGACACCACCAAATACCCATTTCACAGAAGAAAAGCTGTTGATGTTCAGACTACCCCCTCCCAAAGCAAAAAGTGGACAAAAATATTAACAACTAAAAAAAGCCAAAAATTCTGAACACTAGGGGTGGCTGTGGTCAGAGGCACACAGAATAAATAGATGTGACTCTTAATTTGTATCGTAGGCAGCACTCCAGCCATGAAAATGCCAAAGGGTTCTACATATGCATACACCTTTCCATCCAGGTAATTGAGAGACAGCTAAACACTCAACAAGGGAGTGGTGAGGGATGTGGCTTGTGGAGAGTGCCATGGGCCAGACAGAGGTCAACATTTGGCCTCCAGGCCTGAGATCCCCACCTCTGCTAGATGTCTAGTTTTCCACTCAGTTTTAAAGACCCGGTTACAATCCATTTGCAACCTATCCTGCAGGCATGGAAAAATGTCAGTTTAGCCATACTTAAAGTGAATCAGACCTTTTCGCTCCCAGAGGTCTCCGACTGACGTGATCATAATCTTTCCTCACCCCCCATTGTTCAGTCCCTTTTCATCACCACTCGCTGTTAATCACCTAATATCATCAGCTCTAATTGTGGTCTTCTGCAGTCCATAGTAGCTGATTCACATGCCCTTGTTGTAGCTTGCCTCCATACAAGAAAAAATGTGAAGACCTTGCCAGTAACAATTAAGCCCTGAGTGAACCCAGCCCTGTAAGCAGGAGGGAGCCCTATTAGTGAGTGTTGCGGCTCCACAGCAAAAAAATGGAAAACAGCCAGGTGAGTTAAACACCTGTGTGAGCCAAACAACAGAGGAAGGAGGCCGTGGCACTAAGGTCTGATCCCCACACACGATTACAGAGGTAGATATGATAGAGGTATATTGTCCCATATTTTTTCAAAAATGTTTCACAGTCTACGAAGCTCCAAACAGAGCAATTGGATTACATTGTTCAATTTAAATAAATTTTCCGAAATGAGCAAAATGCTGGTTATTTAAACAAGGAATTGGTTTGGGTGCAGAGAACAACTAATTCTAAATTTAAGAAGAACTGTTCTCCCCTAAAAGAGGGTTGCTGTCATGCTAGAGACATGATTTTCTACTGTATGACAGTGCCTATAACATCACTGGCTTTTGATATCTCTGTGAAAGGCAGAGACATTTTTTCTTGGCAAGCTGGAATCGTGAGGATTGCATGAAACAAGGCTCCCTGCCTTGGTCGTCTCTTTTGATGTATCTTTTAAATTTTTAAATGCAGCTTCTGGAGGGCACGATTGAAAGTGAGGTGCTGCTGGGAGAGGGTGTTTAATCCTTTCCCACCTGCTGTGCCCCTGCTTCAGTAGCTACCCCACCCCACCCTCCTCTCCCACAATATTTCCAATGTGTAATTGGTTGGTTCCAAAAACACATAAAGGGAAAAGTTCCTGGAGGAACATGGCCAGCGAAAGAGTTGGGTAAGCTCTTTTCTACACTCAATCACAAAGTGCTGTTGGCTTGCACTTATATGTTTTGGGTATGGCATGTAGTTTGGCATTAAGACAATGGGAAGTATTTAACTAAACAATTCTGCTAGCGCCCCCAATCTGCTCAGGAGGATTGGGGGAACCCTTAATGGATTTAGGGGGTGTGCAGAGGAAGGAGAGGAGAGGGATAATTTCCATTGTGCAAGGAGAAATACTTGTGCTGATGGAGAACCTGCCTCAGCACTACATTGAATGCAGCCCAGTGTAATGTGGAAAGTTGCACTTGGATACAATTAAAGATAATTCAGCCTCTTAGAGTTAATTCCATTCTTAACCGGTATTAGCAAAGTACATGGCACACTGAAATAAGTGGCAAAACTCACATTGCTGATAAAGAAACAGAATTGCTCTGCTAATGCGTTGTTGTCATGCGCTAGCTGGATGCAGCAGAGTGATGGGAGGCACCAGCTAGGGAACCCTCAAGGGAACCCCAGGAGAAGAAGGCCCAGAGCCAGGGGATTGGTGGTAGGACACCGAGGAGAGGTTAGAGGGAGAAGAAGAAGCAGACTTGGAGGAGGAGGTGTGACAGAAGAGGAAACAGAGTTTAGTGAGCAGGAAGAAGTCAGGGCAGAGAGCTGATTCAGAGGCTGGAGAGGAGGGGGGGCAGCAGACAGAGGTGAGGCTGGCTTCTGAAGAAGCCAGGAAGTTTCCCCCTCCTGCTGCATCCTGCTCCCCTCCCCTCCCTACCACCAGTCTCACAGAACACACAGAGAAATAAAAAGAGCAGAGGAGAGGTTGGTTGTATGCAGACACAGTCTCCAATTGCTTGCCAAAAAACCCTGGAGGGGAGAGGACTTAGCAGCTGTGGAAAGGTAGGAACCTTCAGCCTTCACAACAGCCTAATTGTGGCAAGATCCACTGCGAAGACTTGCTGGGATCACTAGGCCTGCACTGATTTGGTTTCTTTGAATAAGGAGTTAACTACACTGGCACTGATGTTTTTTAATTGCTGACCTATACCTGACTCGAGGTCCTGCCAGTTGTATCCCACCTACATCATACTCAATACACTCATTAAAATAGATGTAAATAAAATAGCCATTATACATTCAGTAATGTCAATAGGTCTACTCTAAGTATGATACAGCTCTTTGTTCTTGGCCCCAAATGAATCAGTTTTGCTGTTGATCAAAAATTTACCTTGCTGCACTCAGCCACCTTCCTTTAGCATTAGAATCCACATTTGTGTACATTCAACTCCACATTTAGTTGTCTAAATCAGTTTTGAATTTGGACAGGCGGGTGAATTTCCTGGCTTTTTAAAATGTTTATCTCAGCCATGTCTGCATGGGAGTTGTAATCAAAAAAATACCTGGAGGCACCAGGTTGGCAAAGGCTGTTCTATCTGCATTGCTGTCCTGAGCTGCATAGTGTTTTATAGACTGCTGGTTTTCAATTTTCTCGATTGTGCTGAGATTGTATTAGTTACATTTTATCTTTTTAGATATTCATTGTGAGCCACTTTTGGAGGACTGTGCCCCGAAAAGCGGCATATAAATACTGGAAATAAACAAATACCCGTGATATTGCACTGATGTAATTACTTTTTATGGGTCACATTTCTGCTTTCAGTTATATTAACATACATCAAGGCAGCTCCTCTGTAATTGATGCTGTGCCCTTTGAATTAGACAGAGGCAAAACTTAGCTCATTCGCTTTATATGCAAAGCTTAACGTGTCTGGATCTTTACAATTAACATAACTGACATAGCTACTGCAACATGATCCTTTTTTGTCCTACTGCTGACCTTTTATCCGTGGCAGCTTTCATTCTGTACCAAATTATTTCCAGGTGAGCTTATTGTGATCAGATAGCTGATTTTATGGTAAGTACATTTGCGAATTGCAAGGGAAACACTGCTTTCTTTGTAATTTCCTTATGCGGAATGTCATAGAATCTCAAGGCAGCCAAGGCCATTTTGATACAATCATCTCTTGGGGTAGTACAAGAGTTCACCTCCTATTTCTTCCCTTTGGACATGAATGGGAAGATGTTGCTGCAAAGCTACACATGAAATTAATATGGGCTCTGGGTACATATTTTCTATTATTTGGAACACACAGTAATTAATTTTCCTCCTCTGTGTGAGAAATGCAGATTAAAACCTCTTAACTTTTGTGCTCTTGGGATGATAATTGATATATAAATTGCATTAGTATCCCTAAGCTCCTTTTGTATAAATATTTTTGTGATATTAGTGGAAGGGGTCCTGCCCCCCCCCCCCATTTTATCTACTATATCCCTCACGTGATTTGCATTCATTGAGTATGATTTTTTTTCTATGACAAGCAGAGCAAGTTATAAGTCCCTCCTTATGCAGGCATAGCTAGACTGATATAGCAGAGAATGTGTGTGCTTTATTTTCACACCTTGGGTTTAATATGCAGTTTGCTTCTGCCTCCACCTCCACAGTAGCCTCTTACAGGTGTTGTGCATGAATGAAGATACATAGGTGTGGGAGCAGATCACGGTGACAATAGGCTAAAATCCCACCTCTAGATAACCACAAAAATCCATCATGCATTGGGGAAAAAGTGGTTTGAGATGCAGTCTTCTGCTCTAGACACTACAACGAGTTGCCTCAAAATTTTGCTTTTCAATTGTTGTAATGTCAACATTAAAGCAATCCCATGAAATTATTAAGATTATTATTTGATTGTTTTTTAACAGTGTTAGTGGTATTCAACTAAGGCCACAGTCACATTTAAAGCACTATAATATCACTTTAAGCAGTCGTGGCTTCCCCACATGAATCTGGGAGATGTAATCTGTTTAGGGTGTTTAGAATTGTTAGAAGGCCTCTATTCCCCTCCCAGAGCTACAGTTTTCAGAGTGGTTTAACAATCAGTCCCTCTTCACAGTGAATTCTGATAATTGTAGCTCTGGAGGGAGAACAGGGGCCTCCTTACAGCACCCTTAACTAACTACAGCTCCCAGAATTCTTTAGGGGAAGCCATGACTACTTAACATGGTATCATAATGCTTTAACTGGGGTGTGTGCATGTGGCCTAGGTTTTAATCAGAGTAAACCAATTCAAATGAATGAACATGCCTAAGGGCTACTAATTTCAATGGATCTGCACCGCCCTGTGTATTGTTTCTTATTATTATTTTGCTGTTTCCTGCCTTGGGCTTCTTTGAGAGGAGGGGTAGGATAAAAATCTATTAAATAGTAATAATTAGGCAAACAGGAATGCAATAAAACACCATGCAGGCTCTCAAGTTCCCCATAACTCTTCATCAGGCTAGATGTTAAGAAATGGGGGATGGGGAGAAATAACGGGGCGGGGGGGGAGTCTATTCATGTTTGTCAAGATATTTAAGCCTGCCTCTGCTAAGTTTTAAGGTGGAGTGTAGGAGGAGATAACAGATTTCCAGCTGTGGCACTTCAAAGTACTTGGAAGTTCTTACATGATTTTGATTAGTTTAATAAAAGTATTGGCTTAATATGATCCCTTTTCTTATGGGCCAACACGGATATCTTTGGCTTTTTTCAAAAGTGTGATTTATATATACATTTTTAAAATTTTTGCTTTAAAAATATATAGTATTTTAATAAAACGTACAATCAAGTAAATATTGTTATAGTATACTTTGGAGTTTTCGATGAATGTTTAATTTGTTTGAGACTTTATTTTACTAAGATATAACATTGATCACAGATACCTTCATGAGTGGCCAGGAACCCTCTGGTGTCAGTAAATGATAAAGGCTAGAGTGTGTGGTATTTAATCACAGCTACCTAAGTATTAGCATATATCAAGGAATAACACTATTCTGAACCGTAATGAGAGCACAATGCCATATTTACTTTGTTAAAGTTGGTTTCTTGCCGATGACATGACATTGAAAAATTAGTTCTTCACTTGAGGATAAATAATTGTTGCTGTGTTTTAGGTACCGGTACATTCGAAGACCAATCTTATTTAAGTGATGTTCCCCATTTGGTGATTTCTTGTGTAAATCTTCTGTGTATTCAAAGTTGACTGACATACTTCTTAAATATTATCTTCACGGAAATGAAATGGTTCAGTTTATGACCACTAAGACAAATTCATGGAAAATAAGGCTATCAATGGCAACTAGCCATTACGGCTATACTCCACCTACATGGTTGGAGGTGGTAATACTTAAATACCAGTTGCTGGAAACCACAGGGGGGAGAATGCTCTTGTGTTTGGGTCCTGCTTGAAGGTTTTCCACAACTTCTTCTTGGCCACTGTGAGACCAGAATGCTGGACTAGATGGGCCATTGTCATCATAAGCTCATTTGTTAGAAAATCTATAGAAATTATTCACAAAGAGTGGCATGAACACAGCTCCAGCAAGCCCCCAACTCTTTGTTTAATGTGTGCATTCCAGATGTGTGAAGTTGCATGACAGTTTTGCCATTGGCTTCAATCGAATACAGACTTCAAATTATCTTGGATAAGACAATTGAATCCTCTGCTTTCCAACTTCATGCTGAGTGGAAACCCCCCCCCCCCATTCAGATTTGCATGGTGCAAGATGGCATTGTTTGCTTCTCTTCTTTTAATCAAATGCTTTTGTCTCATGCTTTTGTTTCTGTCCAAAGCAGGATGCTGACATGTTGGCAGGTGATGAGCAGGCCTGGAAAGAAGCCAAAGAAGCTATAAATAAAATGGGAGCTCCAAAGTCACAAGAAGGTATCCTTTCAATGCCAAAGTACTGGCCAACAGCAGATGGGTTTCCTTTTGAGGCAAGGACATATAAAAGCTCTTCTTCCTTGCTATTTCTAGAATATGGAAATGCTTCGTTCCTTAAAGATTGCCCTCAGTGCCTGTGTTAGAGTGGGCAATTGGATTTGGCTGGGGTGTCAGATTCAACTCTTAACAGGTGGGTGGAGCCACCCACTTGTCAATCACTTGGACTCTTATAACATCAGACCATTGAAATTTCAAGCTGGGGCTGCAAAGAAAGATTGCTCCTCTGTACCTCCACAAATTCCTTTGTATTTGCAGCATGGATTTGGTCCAGGAAAAATAGGGAGTATTCTCAAGTGCACTTGCAGGCAAAACTAGGCACTTTTAAAATTTGACACCTTTTAAGAATATGGTACCAAATAATAATTAAAAAAAACCCACGTATTTTGCCTGCAGTTAAATAATTCTCATTCCTTCAGCTGCAGCTTCTGCACATGATGCCGTATTTGATGTCAGGCCTGGGAAAGTAGATGTATACAGGCAGCCTGGTCCACTTCCTAGGTTTCACAGGCCTATTTCAGACCCTCCAAGTGTCCCTATTGGGATGTCCCTGATTTAGAGAAGTCATCCCGGTTTCTGATTTGATCCCAGAATGTCCTGCTTTTTCTTAGGATGTCCCTATTTTCATTGTAGAAATATTGGAGGGTATAGAGTTAGCCAACCCCCCCAAGCCATTCAAAGGCAATCCTGTATAGGGAAATTTTTTTAAAAATGTTTAAAGTTTTATTATGGTTTCATATATGTTGGGAGCTGCCTAGAGTGCTGGGACAACCCAGTAAGATGTGTGGGGTATAAATAGTAAAATTATCTTTATAGAATGGGACGTCCCTATTTTCATTGGAGAAATGTTGAAAGCTACTCTGTTTTTAGGCCCGTGGGCTGAAGGTTCCCCACCAAAGGCTCTATGTCTTTCTGTCTTTCAGTATCTAGTAAAAAACGTGTAGACAGTTGTAGCAAAGACCATTTCCTTCTGTTTTGCTTCTGTTTGCACTACAAGCCACAAGATGACAGACACCAAACTTCCTTTTGTCTGTGTTGAATCTCTCAACATTCTGCTTCATGGGATGACTCCTGGTTCTAGAATTATGAGAGAGGGAGAAAATACTGCAACCAGGGATTATCCCCTGAAACTAAGTACAGGGAGATTTGTGACAGACAAGGGGAGATTTCTTCACACACAGCGGAGTCAAAACAATTGAATTGTTTAGCAGAAAATGTAGTGGGGGACACCAACTTGGACAGTAATTTTTCATGAGCTTTTGTTTGAATGGCACGATGTTGATTAATCCTTAATCCAAATAAACGTCAGAATGGGAGCAGGCTCTTGTGACATGCCAGACGTTACTAAAGAAAAATGCCACTCACCTCCCAGACACAAACATTTACCAGCTGAAAGTACTTGACTTTGCCATGGACGCCTGCATAAATCTTGGCCTTTTGGAAGAAGCCTTGCTTTTTGGTCACAGGACTTTGGAGCCCTACAGGTAAAAGATAAAAATGCAGTCATTTATTGCAAAGATTCGCTTTTAGCCCAGGAAAGAGGGTGTGGACCAAGAATGTGGCTGCATCAATGTTACTATTTGTTAATTATTCTGTGTGGTAGCATTAGGGGTAGGGCTGCCATACGTCCGGACATTACCAGGATTTCAAAGGCGGGGGGGGGGGAATTTCCAAAAGGTGGCGCTTAGGCAAGTCAATTGAGAAACTGTTTTTTGGGGGGGAGGAATTGGGGGGGAGCCCAAAAGCTTTGGGGTTTTCCAGGGTGTTCTGGTTTTTTACTTTTTGAAATATTGCAACCCTAATTAGGGGTGAGGAGTAGTCGGCTCAACTCAAACTTGTGCACTGATCAAACATGTCAGCTGTTCTTCAGAAAAGGGGAACGTTACAACCCATTGTTCCTCAGCTGAACCATTTTGAAAAAAATAGGTTTACTTTTTCTGCCCTTGGTGATGCACAATTGCAGATTGTTCGAGATGTACTGGTGCGTTTGATCATTGTGTTTATGACACAAACGTTCCTGGAGGACTCTGGAGTGTTTTGCTTCAGATCCCCGTGTACTTTTCACAAACCTCTATATTCCCAGGTACATTTTTAGAGACAATATTTTTGGCAGCGCTTCAGCACCGTCTTCTTCCTTAACTCCTTATGGTACTTTCTGGTTTTAGCCTGGTGTCTAATTAGTTTCGATTGATATGGTTTGATCAAAAGAAAAGCTTTCTCCTTTGAAACAGGTAGTAACTGTATAGTATAGCAATGTGACCGGGATGATCAAAGGGGAAAATACAGCTTTGTACTCTTTTCCTCTGCATTTTTTTTCTTTTGTTCATCCAAATGCATTTTTTTAAAAAGGAAATAATGATGGTGGGCAACCTTAGATTTGGTATCTTCAATTACCACCACTAGCATCATAGCCGTTTTCCTTTATTTTCTCAAGGAAAGGCAGCCACTTCAATGGAGTTTTGCTATGTTGCTAGGAATAAGTCGTATTCAAATAGCAGGGCTGCAGCAGAGGTTAACAATAATTTAAAGTGCTTGTAAGGTTGGAGCAGCTCCATTTTCATTTTGATTGCATTACAGGGTAGAAGGTTACTAAGGCACCTTTGCCTGAATACTGAATTTTGAGACAGTGAACTTTAAAACAAATGCTAGCATAGCTGTTTCCTTTGGTTGCTTTTAGGTTTGCTGCCTGTGGCCATTTTTGAGAAGGGATGTAATGGCTCTCCCCTCTTTTCTGATGATGACCAGTCTTCTGTAAGTTTCTCCTCCTGGAATAAAGGAGAAAACATAAAAAAGTGCAAACAAAATTAAAACAAGTGAATTAGCTATGAAATTAGTTATTGTCACAATGGCAAAATATCAGATTATATTGGCCTTTATAGTAATTTCAGTGAAAGAGACTTGTCAGTGAGAGAAGAGGATCTTGCCTACTGCTCTTTCTTTCTTTCTTTCTTTCTTTTCAAAATGGCTTCCCTTTTTAATTTGCATTTTTTTTATTTACTGCTTCTATTCAGCTATGCTTCTTTTACCCTTTAACCTGTCAATGTGGTGCTTCAGACCAATGAAGCTACTTGTCTTTTCCAGGGAAAAGATTGCAGTAGAAAACAATTATAATTTTATCAATCATTCGAATATCTCTTTCCCTGTTTGCTTAGTGGTGTGTGACATAGTTTCCGAGCTACTTATTACAGCCAAGTTGATTCTGCCGCTGCCGCCTCACCTTCCATCCACCACCACCCTTATACACACAGACAGAGAGACACACAAACACACACAAACGACATGTTCTGTTTAAAAGTATTTGATGAAATGTTGCTGGTGTGGTAAAGCTGCTGGCCTCTCATGTACCTTGAAGACAGTTGCTCTTAGTCTCACCAGGTGCAAAAGCATTTCCCAAGAAGAGACATTTTCAGCCCGAGTTCTTTTTTTACCTTCAAGCCATCACTACAAGCTTTGACGCACCTGACAAAAAATCTTCAGTTTCTCATTACAAGGAGTTGTGCCTGAAGCAGCAGGATATCAAATCTGAGCAAATCTGTTGGGGTGCATTGAATTTCTCCAGTTGAATCAATCTACTGCTTGACTGCTCCTGCAGTTCCATTACAGCTATCTATTTTCCTTTCCTCAACTCTGCGGCAAAAAAATATTCATATTCTTATCTGCAGGGAATCACCTCAAAAACAAGCCATCCATACAAATAGGAGGTGGTATGTCCACCTTTAAAAGGAACTGTTCTAAAACCATTTTAACTTCAAGGACTGTATTTGCTGTGTATGTTTCCATTATGCGATCAGCAGGGTTGACATCCACTGCTGTGTGCTAAGTGCAGTATTTGATCACATGTTTTCATTTGACCATCATGTGAAACCAGTCTGAGTATTTATTTAAGTGACATGTTTAGATATCTGGCAAACATATTTAATGGCTTCTTTTATGCTATAGGTTCACACTGTAGTGAACTAATTAACTGATGCTAAATATTTTTTGACCTCCAAAACGAAGGTTCTCTTTAGTGATTAAAAACAACCAGGATTCAACTTTAAAAGGAGCTTGGAGCAGGTTTAAAGAAGGCATTAGAGTCCAGAAGACCACAAGAAATGAAGTTTTTCAGGGGGTTGGACGAAATGACCCCTGAGGTCCCTTCCAACTCTACAATTCCTTCATTCTATGATTCTACACTGGTCCTCACTAAAGTCTGTCACTTGGCCACCTTAATTGGATCGGCCAGCATATGAGTAGTGGAAACTGAATGAAGTGAGAAGAACCTTTGTTTCTCTTGGTTTCTCAAGAAGTCGTCTTATATGCTGATATGTTTAAGATGTTGACTCTGTAGGGCTGTGTGCCTGTGTGTGCTATATTTGTGGTAAGTGTTCATGTGCAATGAGTATATGTGCGCAGTCTGCAAGTGTGGTGAGTGAGTGTGTCCATGGCCCATTAGTTCAACAAATAAATATGGAATAAATTTGAGGCACACCTTTATGGTTGTTCACTGAGGGACTGGCAATGGCAGTAGTTCTCCCTGAGATGACCCATTATTCCCAGCTATCCAGCTTCCTTAAAAAAAAAAAAAGCTTGCCTTTGTAGAACCTGAGATATGAGACAAAATGTGCAGACACCATTCTTCTTTTTTCATTTTGTGTGTGAGAGTAGTCTGCTCCCCCTTCCATGGATTTATTTTTACCCTTCTCTGTCCCTGCCCCCTCTCCCGCCCAAATACAGTTGTACCTCTGGTTACGAACTTAATTCGTTCCGGAGGGCCGTTCTTAATCTGAAAACATTCTTTTTCTTTTTAAAAAATTGATTTAATCATTTTTTTGATACAAACATTAACCGCAAAAGACAACAAAATCCATAATAACAATAATAATACAATCTGACAATTCAGATTTGAATACACTGATATATATCTATGACTACACCTTTTATAACAATATTTTCCTACCTCTCTCTCCGCCCCCTACTTCCCACCACTATCCGCCTTATCGCTTAAATATTCGTTCCATATTTCTTCATATTTATCCATTCTTATTTTGCGTTGACATACAATTCGTTCATATGTAGCTAATCTGTCCATATTATCAATCTATGTGCTCAATGGAATCTTTTTGCGGCTCTTCCAATTCATCAAAACAAGTTTTTTTTGCTTCTAATACAGCACGGTACATCCATTTTTTTTTTACCCCTTGAAATCTCCCATGTTTCCAGAATATAATTTAGAATTAAATTCAGTTCCCCTAAATAACAATTCCTTTTTATTACTCCTGCTATAAATATCCTCACCTTGCACCAGAATGATCTTATCATCGGTCAGTTAATCAACATATGTACTAAGTTCGCATTTTTACTCCCACATCTCCAGCAGTTGTCTGCGCTTGTTATTTTCTTATGGCATAGTTTTGCTGGAGTCCAGTGGACTCTGAATATTATTTTCTGCTTAATAAATCTGAAACCATTCTTAACCTGAGGTACCACTTTAGCTAATGGGGCCTCCTGCTGCCGCTGGCGCGCAATTTCTGTTCTCATCCTGGGGCAAAGTTCGCAACCCGGAGCAACTATTTCCGGGTCAGCGGAGTCTGTTTGTAACTCAAGGTGTTTGTAACCCGAGGTACCACTGTACTGTCAATGCTGTGCACACTTTATCTGATTTGTGACGATTTCCCCCTCCTTTCAAACAAAAAACAAACAAACAAACAAATATTACAACGAAGAAAATAGAAGTGGTGTATATCACCACTAGAGGCTGCTAGTGCTTTGATGTTATTGTGAGCCAATGGACAAGTGGATTTTTGCTAGAATGTTCAAATTGGGGTATTAACAGAAATTACTGATAAAGCTACAAATAGAGATAAGAACATCTCCTTATGCAGGTTTGTAGATTTCACCAAAAATGTGCCCTTCTTTCTTTAGAACCGACTTTAAACAATTTATACGGTTTAGTTTACTTTCTGAACTTGCAGTTGAACATTCAGATTAAGTGGGATTTTTATATTTTAGAAATGTTGGTATGCTTACAAGAAACGATTCATTAGATAACCTTCCCAAGGGCTTTCTTTTGGTGGGGGGAGACAGCTGCACCCATTTGCCCAAGAATTACCTTGGGAATGACATTATGGAAGGGATGGTGAACTGTTTTCAGCCAGGGGGGGTGGCACACGTTCTCTTGAGGGCAATGTTCTGAGGGCCCAAGCCCTCAGTGATAAGAATGGAGTGATAAGCCAAAGTGGGTGGAGCATTGCTGTGACTCTTAGGTTTGTATAGTAGACTTTATTGCTGCCTTGCAAAAGTCAGAAGCTTCTACAAACATACTTCTTTCCACCCTCCATCCAGGCAAGCAAGCAGTATTACTAGGGTTCAATGCAAAACAGTGTAAGAAGGGTGTGGAGCAGGGCTGGTGAGTGGTGTGGCCTGGGAAAGGGGGTGTGGCCTGGAGAGAGTCTCAAGGATAAGGCAGAGCAGAATGGAGGGCCACATTGGCCCCTGGTTCCTCATCCTTGCACTATATCACGATGCAGTGTCATTCCTATTCCAGGAATGTGGTCGGGCTGTTTAAAGCAGCTAAGCTTTCTCCTGAAGCAGTAACAAGACTTCGTTGCTGTTGTTGCTAAAAAAGAGAGAGAGAGAGAAATCCCTTGGCAGATCCTCCAAGTGTCTCTATTTTCCAGGGACAGCCCCAGATTTACAGAAGCCATTCTGGTTTCTTATTTGATCCCAGAATGTCCTACTTTTCCTTAGGACATCTTCATTTCCATCAGAGAAATGTTGGAGGGCATGGTAGGATGTCCCTATTTTCATCAGAGAAATGTTGAAGGGTATGGAGTTATCTGCCCCCCGAGCCATCTGAAGGCAGCCCTATATAGGAAAGTTTTGTAAATGTTTAATGTTTTATTATGTTTTCTATGTACGTTGGAAGCCACACTGAGTGGCTGGGGCAACACAATCAGATGAGCTGGGTAAAAATACTAAAATTATTATTATGGAATAGAACGTCCCTATTTTCATTGGAGAAATATTGGAAGGTATGCCTTTGCCATTTCTTGTGTTATTGAAAGGTAAGACAAAAATTCTTAATATTTACGCAGCAGTAATTGTGACTAGAACAGTGGACCTTTTTGAGAGCCATTTAGTAAACAAACTCAGCATATTGGCCTTGTGGAAAACATCCACATCAAACATCAATCTTTATCCTGTACATTCATGCAATGACAAAGAAATAATAAGCAAAAGAAGTCATTTCAAGCAAATCATGAAAGAGATAGAGAAGAGGTAGGAAAATATCTCCTATTTGAGGGTTTGCAGAACGGCTTTCTTATTTATAGTCTGCAGGGAGCACCCACCTATCATTAAACGTGAGACTGAGTGCTGGGCCGTCAGCGGTGAGAGAAAGAGGAAGAAAGCTGTAGGAGCTCACAATTCATTGCAGTGAAAAATAAAAGTAAAAAATGCTGCTTCTGAGAGAACGCACTTTGATTCTGGCAAAACAGATTCAGAACCCAGGTGAATGCAAAATTTATGTCTTGCTGTCCCTGAAGGTGCTGATCTCTTTGAGGCTGGGGATAGATCCTGCCAGTTCCTCAGCTCAGTGGAAGGGCACATGCTTAGCATGCTTAAAATCCCAATTTCAATCCCTAGTATCTCTGTTTATAAGGATTTTGGTTCACAGGGCTGGGGAAAACCTCTGTCAGGCAGATTTGCTGCCAGTCAGAATGGATAATACCTGGCTAGATGGCAGCTTCATATGTTCATTTGCGAATGAAAATTGGCTTGCAATCTATGTTTTGATGGTCTTTTCCTCCCCTTTGTCCCGTCTATCATTTTGGAATGAAGCCACAACCTGAACCTCACATGCAATTTAGGAATAACTCCTGCAATGTCAGTCTAGTTTATCATCACCACCACCATCACCATTATGGGCACATGTGTGTGTTTTAAGTGAATAGACGTAATCTGATTCCTTCCTCTTGGCAAAAGGTTCCATAGAAATACCTCTCGTAAAATATCAAACAAATAATGAAATAATCAAGAAGGTCTTACTGCAGTTTGGACCTCTAAATTTTCAATTGGGGTTTAAATTGTGTTTTGCGTCAGTCTTTAAATATATTTGCTATAGTTATTATAGATTTATGTTATATTATAATGTGGTGGTGCTGCTGCTGCTGCTGCCTTTGAAGATGATTCTGAAACTTCAACTGGTCCAAAATGCAGTGGCCAGATTACTGGCCAAGGTTCCATGTGGAGCTTACATAACCCCTGTTTGAAAACAGCTGCAGTGGTTGCCAGTTTGTTTCCAAGCCCAAGTATTAGTGTTCAAAGCGCTAAACCAGGGGTTGGCAAGGTTTACCTTGCCTGGGCCAGTTCACTTCAGCAGAGATCCCTCTGTGGGCCAGACTGCATGTGCGCATGAGCACATGTGGCTGTGATTTTCGGCATCTGAGTATGCACAGACACGATTTCCGGCACTGCAAAAGTGAGTCCCTGCGCCGTGCTGCGCCGGTTTAGCGCAGCGCGCGGGGACTCGCCAAGTGGGCGGCTCGGTTCAGGGGCAGCTCATGGGCCGGTTAAACGACCCCCATGGCCGCTTGTGGCCCATGGGCCTTAGGTTGCCTACCCCTGCTCTAAACAACTTCGGCCTCATATATCTGAAGGAACATCTCCATCCCTACATAGCTTCTCAGGCATTTAGTTCTGCACAGGGTAGTTCTCTTGGTAGTTCTATCACCTTCGGAAGTGCAGGGAATAGTGGACCAGGAGGGGGTTTTCTCTGTGGCAAGTCCCTAAAGCTGGCAGTTTCCTTCACAGAGAGGTGCATCCAGCATGTTCACTGAACAGCTTTCACCAAATGTTGAATGCACACCTCTTTACCCGCACCTTTGACAGTTAAGGTACTTTGTTTTCTGGGACCCTCTCTTCTGCTGAATTTATACTGTTGTGCTCCATTGGGAACAGTTTTATTTGTTTTACAGCTGTAACTTCTTTCATCTGTAATTATAATTATATATCATACTCTTGTAAGCTGTCCTGGGACCTGTGAAGGGTGGGTGAGAAATCTAATAAAGAAATAGGTATATAGGAAGCTGGCAGCAGGTTTCAGGCCAGGGGCCATTCCCCAACTTCCAGTGTACCTTAAGAAGGTTGTGATTCATGACCATATAATTGGGATTGTTTCATATCAGATTCAGCATCCGTTGTTTGTCTAGTAAGCTATATCTCACTATGTAAAAAATGGTTAATAGACTCTAAGCTACCTAAGCACACAACTGCATCCATTCATAGCTTTTGAAAGCCCACACATCTTTGTTTCTTTTGTGGTTGATTCCTGTTCAATTGCAGTCTAGATTTAGACTTTCAATTACTTAAAGAAAGGAGTGTGCGCTCTCATTACAAAATGCTAAATAATAATTTATATATAAAGGTTCTACCCTAAACACTGCCACGACTGAAAACACTTGCTAAAGAGCAGTATCAGCTTTCCCCAGCTGTGTTGTACACATTTTGAAGGACTTGGCAGCTGGCTGCCTTAGATTGGGGGAAAATTAAAGAATAATAAATGAAAACTCAATATTGCCACCAGTCGTGTCATGAATACCTTTCAGTAGTAACTTAAAGGTGTCCCTGAAAGTGATACACAACATGTGCTTAGTGTACTTTAAAGTTGGCTGGCATTTCAGACGTCTGCTGTAAATGGATAGAAACGAGAGCCCATAGCAAAGCACTTGATTTTGTTCAACTTACACATTTCTAAAGAACATTTATATGTCAAAAAGGTTAGTACTATGTTTGTTTTCCTTCCTGAGGATGTATGAAGCTACACCCGGCAGCAAGCGCAATCTGGTATTCTTGCAAGGGTTTAAGGAACATCTACCAAGCTTTGGCTTATCGGGGAAGATGAATAGCTTCTGGAGCAAACAGGAAATCACAATTCCTGGGTGAGGAGAAAACCAGACATATAGAAGAATGTCACATACAGAAGTGAGATAATCAAGAACCATTCAGTGTCTTTGGAGTTGTGCAATCAATTCTAGGGTTGTACAGAAACATTGCTAAGATGCGAGAAAAACCAGGAAAGAAGCATGGTTTCCAAACTTTCTATCTCAGTACACAAGAGTATAGAAAATTAGCAGGACAAACTTGAAATCTTAATACAGTAAGGCAGATATGATTTGATAGGCATTACTGAAATCTGGATTGGAGGGAGGAGGAATAACATTATATCTAAAGGATGTGCACCCAACCGTGGAAATCCATTAATCTGAACATGGAAGGTTGCTTGAGAACTTATGAATAAAAATAAGAATAGGATTGTAGATTAAACATGGGAAAGAATGGCCTGATGTGCTTAACAGTGGAATAGGCTGCTTTGGGAAATTGTAGTGTATATGGGGATTGTTTGTTACATGTATTTTTTTGAAACTGAAAAATAAAGAAGTTACGAAAAGGGATACCAAAGTTGTGAATTTTGGGCTTCACTGGGTGGTTGGGTTAGATTACCTTTTAGGCACCTTCCAACTTTGTGATTCTAAGATTTTCAATAGGATTATTCTGTATCAAAACTTTATGGATTCATGTGTATAATCAATGATTTAGAGACCATCTAAAGTAATAATAAAAATGAATAGAACAAAAATAATGCATTACACAGCATTTTAAATTATTCTGAAATATGTTTAATTTC